GGGGGGGGGGGGGGGGGGGGGGGGGGGGGGGGGGGGGGGGGGGGGGGGGGGGGGGGGGGGCGTGATGGGAGGGGTAGGGGCGCAAGCTCCTGACCAGATAAGCGTTGGCGGGTATCGGGGACTGAACCAATGAGAACACACGTCGAAGTCGTTAGACCATTGGTCTCGCATCCCTGCAAAGCCGGGGCGGAGCGATATTCCGGGTTTTCGCGGGCCCAGGTTACGTTTCACAAAGATGAACCAGAAGGAGCTGGCCATCATCGCTTTGTTTGGGTGGGGGGAGTTGCGATCAAAATAGAGTTGTACTTCTCGTGTAGTCGGGTGGCGGAAACCTATACGCTGAGAGCTGTGCAGCAGCCAGGGAATACTTCGGCCGCTAAAAACCAGCTTGTAGCCGAAATCGGCAGCTAACACGATGTCTATGCACTTTGCTTGGAGAAACAGGGTCAAGCAAACGCTCGGAACCTTCACGTACGACTAGGCGATGTCTATTCACTTTGCTTGGAGAAACAGGGCCATGCAAACGCTCGGAACCTTCACGCACGACTAGGTACCACAAGGTGAAGCCTGCAAGTTCGTAACGGACAGCAGCAGCTGCAGAGCTTGGTGCACCGCTGACAAAAAAGAAGAGCAGGTTTGGCTCCGGAATATGCACCCCCACGACGGCACCAGTCGACGGACTCACTCACCGAAGGCTGGAAAAAGTTGTCCAAAAGGTCCCCCAGCTCGGAAACGCCACCGTCCCCGCCGCCGCCGGTCCTACCTCCTCCCCCCCCCCGCTGCTTCTGCTGCTGCTGCTGCTGCTTCCGCCTCGCCGGCTCTGGGACGTCGAGGGAGAAGTCGCGGTACAGCTCTCGCCTCCGCCTGGAGTAGGAGCACTTCGTGCACGTGAGGGTGGCCTGGCGGGAGCGCGCGGGCAGTGGCGACGGAGCCGGGAGCATCGTGTCCGAACCAGAGGGAAAGGGCGGGAGGTGAAAGGGATATTACGTCAGTGATCACACTGTGCTGAGGGATTGGGTCTATCAATGACACCAAGGGGCGAGCGAGGGAGAGAGAGAGCTCGATGGCGTGATGAGCCACGATCGAAGCGTTTTTCTGCTACTCCTCCGGCAGCGCGAGCTGTCACAAACGCGTCCGTCCGTCGTCTCCCTCTCTTTCAAAGCGGCAAGAGACACGGCAGGCAGCAACCGGATAGCAGAACATCGACGTGAGATCGGCAACTACGGAAGTCTCGGAGAGGTACTAGTACAACCACGCGATTACGATACAAAAGTAGACCAAACGTACCTGGAGCAGAGCGGTTTCTAGAAAAAATACATCCCGTCATAGAAACACTACACCCCCGTTCGATACAATAACCACCGTCGAAGGGGATGCGTTGAAGCCTTTGCAGCAGTGAGTGGGAAACAAACCGGTTTTCAAGCAGATACATCTAACAGCAACAAAAAAAAGACAACATGGCCACGCGTACCTCGACCTCGGCGTGGAAATGTCTCGTGGTCGGCATGAGCCGCTCCTTTTGTCGCAGCGCCTCTTCGTCTTCCCTACCCCCCTCTGGCCCCTCGCCGTCCTCATCTCCACCCTCTCCCCCGGTCCCCCCCCTGGTCGCTGTCGTCGTCGTCGTCGTCGACAGCTTCGGCGCCGTAGGAGGCGACGAAGCAGCAGCAGTAGCGCCGTTGCGATAGTCATCGCTGTAGCTACCGTCGGAATCCAAGTCCAAGACCTCGACAACACCACCACCGCCGACACTACCAGCACTACCGCTAGCGGTGGCGGAGGCGGCGGCTGCGGCAGCAGCTTCAGCGGCAGCAGCTTCAGCGGCAGCAGCGAAGTCCTCGCCGTCATCCCAACCGCTGCCGTAAACGTCGGGCTCCTCCCGCCCCTCGTCTCCCGAGTCGGTGGAGCTGAGATCGACCATTGTCACCCCACCGCCGCTATCGCCACTGCCAATGCCACCACCACCGCCGCCGCCACTACCAAACCTCCCATCGCCGCCGCCGCTACTTGTTTTTCGGGTTCTGCCGGATCGCTCCGCTCCCACCGCCGCCTTCACCTTCTTCCCCTTGTCCCCACCTTCGCCCACAGCAGCAGCAGCAGCAGCAGCAGCAGCAGCAGCAGCAGCAAGAGGTTTTCCAACGTACCCGGCGGCGATGTCCAGGCGGGGTTGCGTCTCTTCGTGCAGGGCGTTCACGAGGTCGCCGAGAAACTCGTGGGCGTCTTGCTGGAGGTTGCCGGCGAAACGGTCTCTGTTCGCAGCGAATGGGCAGCAAGGCGAAAGGAAGGGGGGCGGGGTAAGGTACGCCAGGCGGGGGTAGGGCACGCCGACAGATACCCGCTGTTCTGGCGCTGTTCTGGTAGACGCGTAAAGAGAGAAAGGCTGCGACGCCGCACGCGGACATAAGTACCACAGCCAACAGCACCAGAGACAGACAAGCAGAGTGAAAAAGCGAAACACACGCAAGAAACGAATGCCAATGACAACAGAAAACACACACACACACACATGGTAGTACTTGTGTTGCGTCTTCCGCAAATAGCCTGAAGTCGGAGACTGACCGGACCCTGTCTTCCAACCTCCTCCGGGCCGGGGGGAGGGGGGGGGGGGGGG